CCAATAATATAGGCCACTCATCTGACTTAGTTCTGTTTTTTTTTTTTTTGCCATTAAGTCAGAATGCTGCGATCACTTATCTATATCCTTGTATTAATACCATTCTTAATACTCTTTGCTTAGTTTGTTGAACTTTTTGTTGCCTTATTACTGTTGCTTTGCCTTATTACTGTTGCTTTGCCTTATTACTGTTTTTGCCTTATTACTGTTGTTGCCTTTTACTTTGCATATAGTGTTTGCTTTGCCTATTATATTTTGCCTTGTTCTTTTGCTTTTTTACTTTGCTTGTTTATTACTGTTGCTTTGCCTTGCATATAGTGTTTGCTTTATATTATATTTTGCCTTGTTCTTTTCTTTTTCTTATTGTTTATTGGAAACCTTGTCAATTCTGTTGGACATTTCTGAAATTACATTTAACTATGGCAAAAAAAACAAAAAAAAAAAACTCTACAAATAAACACCAATATTTTTTTTCAACTATAGGGACTATTTCTTTGTTAATATTATTACTGAGTTGTGTTGTTTGTCTGATAAATCTTTAAAATCACGGGCTTTTAATATTTTTACTAAAATAAAGTTAAATTATCACTCTCCAGAAGAAAGAAAAAATTCTTAATTGTGTGCCTAAATGTGGCTCAAACTATGTTTCATGTTGCAGTTGGGCTTTTCTGAACCTTACTAGAAGGCATCTACCTAATGTCAGGCAGGCATAGTTTTGGAGGTGTCCTAGTGACATGGTTTCAATTACGCACTTCATGATTTTGCTTTTGCGCTTGTATAAATGATGATGAAGACAGGCCGTGGGAAACAAGGAAAGCATCAGTTGTTCCTACTGCTGCTTCATGTCACTTGCACCTCTTCTTGCTTAGTATCTACATGATGCTATGCCACAGTGTCTTCATTGTTGTGGAAACAATGAAGACACTGTGTCATAGTAGGAAAGAAATGAACAAAGAATTGTTAGCTATGGTCATGGTAATATTAGCAGTTTCCTTATAAGGAAACAGCTGGCATTCATTGACAGAATAGCCAGTGCTTCTTGTTGAAATTTATAGCTTCTCAAATCGAGTATCTGTTATCGGCCTTTCCAGTATTGATGCGGGCTTCCTTTCTAACCTTTTATTTAAAGTAGTGTGGAACATTGACCGCTTGATTATTTCATTATTTTCTCTAGTTAAATGTGATATCTATTTTAGATGTTGACATTGTTGAAAGTCTTCAAGTGATGTATTCTGTTATTTAGTACATTTCTTTGTGATTCTGTAGTACAAGAAGATAGTCGTTGCCAAGACCCTCAGGCTTCACTTGCTCAAAGACATTTTAACCATTGATCTTAGAAAGTAGTCTTATACATTTTAGATATCTCTGACCAGGTTTGCCACCATGAATGACATCTATATGAGTCTTAATCTGATGAGGCTGTTTAAGAACATGACTAGAGTTTTCAGGTTAATGTTTTGGTTTTGTAGTAATTTGCACTGTTGGGCAAAACTACCTCTAGCACAGTGTATTTTGTGTTCAGTTTCTTTGTCTCCTATACTAAATTTGTTATAACTGATCTATACACTGAGGTATCTGAAGTGTTTAGTACTTACTAAATCCAAATCCTGAATTTTTATGGATTCACTTTATAAATGCTACCATTGCTTTCATTCCAATTCAAGATCATATCAAAAGATGTGATGAAAATGAAAGATGAAAAATGTTCAAAACAGTAAAACATGACTGAGCAGCACTTGGCAGTCAAAAATCAAAACAAAAAAACAGCTGTACCAGTGAAGAGCAACTTGTGACAAGAAGTTTGCAAGCTATGAAGAGATATTTTTGTAATATTTGGCAGGGGACTACAACACTAGGAAGTTTTTGCATCAGTCCTTTTGAAAAATTGTAAAAACCTTTTTTTTTTTTTTTTTCTAAAGTGAAATCATTCATAGGAAAGTTTACAATTTTTCACTTCTTTATATGCCTTATGCAATAATGACTCCACATCTTTCTGTCTCTTGTAGCTCTTAATAATTTTTTTTGTTATTTCTCCTAAACCCTGTTCTGCCATCCATTTACTCAAGCTCACTAAGTATATCAGGTGTCGCTTTCATCTCTCTTGCTTTTTCTCTTAGTATCAAATTCTCCAAGCCCTCCTTCCTCATTATGTGCCCTAGAAACCTCAACTGTCTCTTCCTGATGTTAAATATAAGTTTTTTTTTGTTTCCATTTTCTCTAAAACTTTGTTATTGCTCATATGTTCAGTCTGCAGTATCCTCATCATCCTTCTGTAGAACTCGATCTCGGAGGAGATTGTGTTGACTAAAAAACTATTAACACATTTTTTGATACCTGACATTGAGGTTTTCTCAATTTTTTTTTTTTTTTTTTTAAATAGTCAAAAGACTAATTCCAACAGTGCAGTTTATAGAGGAGGAGGTACTGTGAATGATTGAACGCAAAAGTGGTTTTTGAACTTCTGAGCTCAACAATACTATGTGATCAGGTAAACCAGTTGCGGTAAACTGCCAGCCCAATTACATGGAAGTAAACTAGAGTGAGCCACTACTAATAATACCGAAAGTTGGTTTTCTAAGATAATGCTCTATACAGAGTGAGATTGGAAGATGGTTAATCTACTAAAAACTTCTAGAGAACTATACAATTGATTTGAATAGGATTAGAACATTTGAAGGGAGCAATTGATGAATAATGTCTGAAATTAAGAGAAAGGCCATAAGATTTCATCATGAAAACATTAGTTTCTTTGGTTACTGAGAATTTTTCACTTATCCACTATATTCAGCAAATGTTGCATCTTTGAATTACCAGTTATTCTGGTTTTTATGAAATCTTTATCTCCTCCCTCAGAATATTGCAAAAGGCACCTAAAGAGGTTCTGTGCTAAGAAAGATAAAAAATATTCTAGGATGGAATTATGGATTTGCTTAAAAAATGGCAGACAATATCTGAAGAAAATGGTAAATATACTGTTAAATTTTGCTTCAGGAAATGAATGAGCATTTTTTGTCCAACAATATGGCTATCCACTATATACTCTCCCATGCCTAATAAAAACCTGAGGTTACTTAATTAAACACAGGATAAGAAAAAAAATGTATAACATTAATAAACCCAGGTGGTAAATATTTATTAGTATAATCCATTTTTTTTTTATTTGGCTGCGTGTATTATCACTGTACAGTGATATAAGTGATCTCTTTATAGTCACCACACAGTGAATAGAACAGTGGCTTTTGCCAAATGGTGCTATTTTTTGGGTATTTTCAGAGAATCCTTAAATATGCCACACACACATATATATATAATGTGTGTGTGTACTTTTTTTTCTTGTGTGTGTGTGTAACAATTGAGGGGTGCTGTGTAAAATTTTGACATGAGACACACTGACCCCCATTCATGTCCACATGCAAAAAGCTACTGCACTCACAAACTACAAAGCAACCCCTTTCTTTTCCTCTCTGCGAGCTATAATCAAAGCTAAAGGAGTGATGGAAAGTAGCCATGAAAAAAGCACAAGAAAGAAAAAAAAGAGAAAAGGGAATAGAAAAGGATAGAGAGAGGAGATAAATATATGTCAGACAATCCTTGGCCAAGGTTTATATTTTATTTCAGCTTTAATTAAACTTACTTTTCTTCAAGGTGTCTTACATCACTAGTGATGATGTTCTAATTTCTCAGAAAATTAGACTCAAGAATACCTAAGGTGTGTTCACAAAAGCGTGTGTACAAAAGCTATGCACATGTCCACACACACACACAATGAGAATAAAATACAGATATCTTTCCTGAGGTGTTTATAAATTGTACACTGTTCAATTATTAACGTTGACAATGAACTATTTTAAAATACATAATTGTACTTGGATTAAACAAAAATTACTTACAATATAATACATTCCCTCTTGCTGTCAATTTTGATGGCATGAGTATACTAGTCTAAATAATTCATGGTTACTTGTCAATTACCACTATAAAAAATTAAAAGGTATTTCACAAAAATACCTTTTAATTTTAAGATGAAATAAATGTATTTTATAAAAGTCTTTGTGTATTATCAATGTACAGTGAATTTCTACGTAAATGCTCTTCTTTCGTGTTGCCTTGTCTGGTAAGAAAGGGATAATCTGGAACTTATTCCACAATGGTGGCAGGAGGACTGGAGTGGGGACTGTTTACAAAAGGAACCATCTGTTTGTCAATTAAATAGAAACACTTCCCATCAAAATAAAACCATCTCTTTCCTTTCTATGTGAGTGTTCTTTTTCACCAGAAGAAAATTAACACAAATAGGTAATTAAAACTGCAAACAATATGATTTAGTTTTGTAACACATTAGATTCATTATACTGAAGAAAATATCTTGTTTATGGTGGTCTTCAAATACTATTCAAGGTCTTGTAAAAAATTTAAAGGTTTCTCCTCTTAATTTATTGTGACCAACCCCTCATTCAAATTATTTCAAACTAAGAACTCACAAGCAATCTTTAAACCTTCTTAGTTATTAGACCCTAACCCGATTTCTTGAGTATAGAAGACTAGGACAGCGATAAAAACATGTCTTATTAAAGAGGAACTTTAAGAAGACAATTTTAATAATACAAGGTAGGAGTAATAAAAAGCTATATTTTTTTTTTCAAAAAGGAGAGCCTTTGCTATAAAATCAAATTTGTAACATACTGTTATATACCGAACTTATGAACACTATTGGGTATGTCCCAATCCTCATAAATATGTTGAACACTATTATAAGTGGGGGGTTATATGCTGTCTAAGTAGTTCACCACTAGCAGTGGTTTACCTACTTCACGCCACTGTCGAGTATTGTATTTTGTTGATTTTATAAAGATTATCATTTCATTTCTAACCTCTGTTTTAGTTATTCCTCATTCAGTAACCTTTTCTAGGTTACAACACATGAATAAATAGTTATTGAAAACATATGATATAACATCTTTAACATGTTAAAATATCAAAGAATATTTAATATAACTTACCCCCATAAAGCTGGATTATTCGTACTTGCTTGGTAGTTCCATAAACATCCACAATGGCATATAAAGGACCATCTTGGTAAGGTATGTTTTTGGCACAAGGTCCCTGATCCAGTCCATTAATAATAAAGTGCATCTCTGCACGATCCTCATTTACAACATACATAATTCCTATCCGGCTGCCAACATCCGTAGGAAGAATACTCCCCTTTTTGGGAATAAAATGTCCATTTTTTCGCTCCACTGGAAAGCGTACCGGTAATAGTAGGCTCCGACTAAATGTCCCTCGTGGTGTCTGGATGAGGTCCTCGTTTCCAACAACAGGTTGGTAGGGTTCTGTTGCCTGATCTTCATCTATTTCGATATTCCCCGTAAAAATCCGATTGTGAGATTTATTTACAGCATAAATCCAGGATTTGCCCATGTTGGCCAGGTCAGGTAATGCATACTGTGGTAATTTAAAGTGGTTTCGAGGATCAAACTGTGTGAGCCCTATGCGAAGGTGTCCACTCCAGCCCCTCTCAGTTTTTTCTATCTCCACTAAAAAGATCTCACCTGGCTTCAAGGGTTCCTCACTGAATGTCAGGGCATGGGCAAAACTAGTCTTTCGATATGCAACAAGGTTCTCATGGAACAGTTGAATGTTTTCCCCATGATAGGGGTGAAATCTTGTCGGAGGCATCTTTGACACCTGCAATTAAAAAGTAAAAACAGTTCAGTATATTGAAAATGGAATGTGGTGTAATAGTTATTGGTATGTTAGGTTCAAATTCCATTGCACTAATGACCTTGGGGAAGCCCAAGGTCATTAGTGCAAAGTTCAATTGCACTGACTTGAATTCATTTCTTATCTCCCCATTCATTGTTTAACTAAGACATGAACAACCTTTTCTGAGCAGTGGGCCACTTGATCTATGGCTTATCACAAACTGGGCTGCACTACTAAAAAAAATTCAAGGTTATTTTTCACAGTAGGTAATTCAGCTATTTTCACTACAGAAGACCCTATCTGAAAGTATATACATGGGAAATTTTTTTTTTTTTTTTTTTTTTGAGCAAAGATGTTTCTATAATTAAAAAATTAAAAAATTGTCATCTTGGTATAATATCACAGATGACAATGCAATTAACACATGTTGCATGAAATATTCTTCTAATTCATGCATTTGAAAAAAAAAAAGAAAGAAAAAAAAAAATATATTTCTTCTCTAGAGAAAAAATTATTATGAACGTTTCCAGTTTTAAAAACATTATGTTTACATATATGATCTTCTTTAGTGTAAAAAAAAAAAAAAAAAAAAAAAAAAAAATCGGCAATGGCTTAAAATGATAAAAATGTTATTTTCACCAAAAGTTCATAAAATTCAAGAAACATTGTACTTAATCATTGTTTATGTATAAGAGAGTGTGAGTGAACAAAACAATTCGAAGAAATTTTATTTTCCTTATAAAATAAATAAAGCATATCATTCATAAAGACCAAACAACCCACGGTCTGCAGTTTTCCCATTTATTGTTTAAACAGACTGGGCTCTTCAGCCTTGCTAGGGCAACCAGTCTAGTACAAGGAAACAAGCTGCCACTTCACAACCCAAGAAAAAGAAGCTGTAAAGAGTCATGACAGCCTAGATCCTGAAGAAACAGGTCATGGAAGGAAAGAGGAAGAGGGAAAGGAAAAAGTATGTATATAGATATGTGAAATTCACAATAAAAATATTATCCCTTGTATTAAAATATTCTCAAAAATTTTTACTTTTTGGATCAATCTGTCTTACTCAATGTAATCAAGTAGTTAATTAACTAAGAGGTTTCAGCATACCTTAAATTTCATTATTTATGTGATTCAATCCTTCTTATAATAAATTTGAGGGAAAACAAAATAAAAATAATCAATGTTTTAATTAAGTATTATCATGACACATGGTTAACCTGGGGTGAATCCTGGTCACGGCATCAATTATGACACTTTTCGCTAGTTGATCTTGTGTCAATTCCTATGCTGGTCATTGAAGTGGCCGCGCCGGTCTGCGCCCTGCTCCACCACATTGTTAGCTCCAAGATCAAGAAGCACAAAGACTGAGTTGTTGCCAGCTATTGCAGTGCTGGTTCGAACCACACTGAAGCTATGCCACAAAGAAGCTATGCCACAAAGAAAAAGTAAAAAAAATGTTCTTTGCAGACAGGAAATTCTTCAGGTTAATTTTCCATGTGGTTTATATGGTTCTTTGTACATAAAAAAGAACCCTTCCCACTTTGAATTCTATCATGACACTTTGCTCATTTTAGCTAAGCCTGGAACAAGGCTTAAGTTGAGAGTTCTCTTTGGTAACAAGTTTGGGCTTTGGCAGTGTAGTCATCTATTGTCATCTGCTCCTCCAACTATAACTTTCTTGGTTGCTTCAGCACTCTGCTTATATCGACTCTTACCCAAGACTGGCCTTGGGGCTGACATGTTTGGCTTTCTCTTGTTTTCTAACAAGAGTTCTTTGTTGTCTGGCTTTGGAAAATTAATTATCTCTCCAAATTTGGGAGATCCTTCTTCCTACAGGTAATAGTTACAGGTACTGGCCCAGCCATTTCCCTCATTTATGCATTGCACCTCTCAATGAGCATAGGCAATTCCTCTGTTTCTCTTGGTATCTTATCTAAACCTTTCATCTGGATTGCCATTTAGACAAATCCAATTTTTAAACCACTTAGCTTAAGGTCATTAATTGTAATTAGTTTACTCATGGCTCACAGGTGTGGAGCGATTCTCTTCTAGAAGAGAATGTTGGACTTCAACTAAGTTAAAACTTTATATTTACATTCCAGATTCCCTATCCATAGCTCCTCTGTCTCATATGCTTCACCTATCCATCTATAACAAATCATATGGGCGGGGTGTGGTGTACCCTCTCCTCCCAATGTGTCCTTTAGACCTCTAGCCTGCAAGCAATCTATACATACATAACTCGGGGCTCTCAGCCCAGCTTGGCTCTCCAGTTATGTTTCCATTCCCATTGGTGTCTGTTTTTGGCTGTTAGTGTTTTTTTCTTTTTTTGTAATAGGAGTAGATAGTCTTTCCTATCACCCAGTTAATACTCCTCACACTTCTTTTGAACAGGAGTAGAGATTCATCTCTTGTTTCCTGATTAGGAAGGGGTTCCTGGATCCTTTCTTTTTCTTTGGCTTTAGTAGTAATGCTGTCATGAATCTTTTGTGATGTGCATGGTTTGTAGTAACGTCTCTTCATACTGAGGGTACCAGGTTGGCAGTTTTCTGGTTGCTTCCCCCCACCAAATGGTAGTTAGGAGCCTGAACTCTTGCATAACATCTTGAGAGGCTGCTCTGATCAACAATAGCATAATATAAGAGTTCTTGCAATGCCATGTCATGCAGGGATGGGTATCCCTGCATGCATTACTGGTGGGCAACCCCAAGACCACATTATGTTACAGTCGGTGCCAGTTCCTTTTTGCTCATGCCACATTTGATGACCAACTGCTACTATTACTTTAGACCTTTTCTTTACCAATGTAACTCAATGTGACCATAAGCAACCAAAAATATAAACCCAAACCAGCTCACAATCATCTAAACCCTTTAGCATTTCCTTCAACATCTGTGGTATTCGTACCAACTTTTGCAGAGTGGAATCATTCCACTTTGATAAGTCTCCTGATCTTTAACAGCCACCATAACATGTGGCTTAAACACTCTGTAACTGACCTTGCTGGCATCCAAACCCTTAACTTTTCAATCACTCACGCAAGTGGCCAACTTTTCCACGCATTTCCCCAGTAACACAGATAGTAAGGCTCCCTTATCGATCTGTTTTACCTTCATCTCTGATTTTTGTCTCACTATACAGCTGCCTTCTTGGCAACTCTGATCACATGGTGGTGTCTGTTAATATCTCCTTCCACTCCCTCTCCAGCCATGAACCTCCTACTAACAGAATATCTTTCTGTTATCAACATACAGACTGGGACTCATTCCGTGACTTCCTTCGCAATATCCCTTGGAATGTTGTTTTTAATCATTCCATACAAAAATGTGCATCTGAGGTCTCCTCCTGGATAAAAGCCGGCATTGAAGTTTTCATCCCAGTGAGAAAATACCAAGTTAAATTGTGCTTATCTCCTTGGTTCTCACCTGCTTGCTCTGTCGCTATAGCCCATAGGAATCACTTCTTCCATCTATACCGGAGTGACATGTCTCATTGCAACAGATCTTTGCTCATAACGAGTGCAAGCATGTCCTCAATGAAGCAAAGTTACTGTTTGCTGATAGAATGAAACAATGTATTGCATCTTGCAAGTTTAGTTCTAAAGATTACTGGCGGATCTGCAAGAGTGTGCTGAACTACAGTAAATCCTCAGTCCCTCTTCTATTCGATCAATTCAAAGTCCTAACATCCTCAATTGATAAGGCTGAAGGATTTGCTCAGAAATTTCCATCCATATCTGAATATGTATACCAAGCTCTTGATAATAATAGCAAAGCTAGAACTGTTGCTCTAGATGTATTGAAGGTGTTTGACATTCTGGTGTTCTGCATAAGCTTCAGAGACAGTATTACAGGACGATTATTTAATTTAATCCAATCATTCTTGTTTGACCATGAAATGAAGGTTGTCATGAATGGGTTCTTTTCTAGCTCCTTCCATATGAATGCTGGTGCTCCTCAAGGCTCTATCCTTGGTCCAACACTGTTTCTGGTCTTCAATGATATTCCTGATGTCATCAGTTCTCAAATAGGCATTGACACAGATGACTATCATTTACCGCTGTCTCAATAGTAAATCCGGTATTGCTGACAAAGTTAAACTGGCTGTTGGTTTTGAAAACGACCTCCAATCTGTGGTTGAGTGAGGCAGGAAATGGCTTGTGAATTTTAATGCATCCGAAATGAAACTGCCGTCAACTCCACAAGAGTACCTCACTGCACCTTCTTGGTCTCACTTTTTCCACTGACCTGAGGTGGAACAACTACATTGAATCAATAGCTGCATCTACTGCTAAAAAAAAAAAAAAAAAAAAAAAAGTTGGTTCCGTTTCATGCCAGAAGGTTTTTCTTGTCCAAGTCCATCCTTCAAATCTACCATTAGTCCATGCATAGAATATTGTTGCCATATATTGTCTGGTGCTCCCGCTGTTCATCACAAGGTTCTTGACAAAATCCAAAGACGGATATACAATGTGATCGGTCCTGACTCCAGTCACTTTCTTACTGACATAATGTGGTTTCCCTCTGTTTTTTCTATATTTTCATGGCATCTGCTCTAATGAGCTATTTTCACTGTTGCCTCAACTGCATGAATTTAAGCAGTGCTACTAGAGTGGCATCTCGGTTCCACCGTCTTACTGTCAAAACAGTTAAATGTAACTGCCTCTTCTACTCCTCTTGCACTTCCCAACAAAGGAATTCTCTTTCTCTTAC